TTCTGAAATTTCTGAAGAAGGGTCCTGACCCGAAACATCAGCTTTCCTGTTCCTCTGATGCTGCCTGGCCTGCTGTGTTCCTCCAGCTCCACACTGTGTCATCACATCATGCTCTGGGCTTTTTGTTTTAACATAAACTGTAAACATAATTAATATTTGGTGTTTGATAGCCCCAGCATTGCATAAAAAAAAACTGTCAAACAAATAATCAAGGCTCACTATCCTACTTTCATTCTGGGAAAATTCAGCCAGGGTACCTCAGGACCACAGAGCAGAGTTCAATTCTATTTGCAATTATATGGGTTTTTCATGCGTTTGTTAACAAAAAGGTATTTAAATCAAAACAACTGCAAAAATCAGACTTGAGGCTGACAACTGCATAAATGATGGAAGCTAAGTTCTAAATGGAATGACTTTGCAATGAAGGAAACTAGAAAGGAACATAGTTGCTCTTACTTATACTGACACTGAATATTCTGGACATTTTATGTGCCTGAGATTCTGCAGCTTTTATCCAAGTCCGAGTCAATCAAACATGTCTAACCAAATGAGCTACTATTACAACTTATTTTTAAAAAGACTTGGAGGGAGGGAACTTGTTGGTCTCTTTCTGTTGTGAAAAAGCAAGCTGCATCTTTGAAAGTCTGCTCACCATCCTTAACTGGATGGCAAGTCAAATTCTGGCTACTAATTGGTCAACTCAAAGAAAATCATTTCCATCAACATTTTCTCTACGCTGTGCAGCTACACATGCCATCAACATGCTTGGAAACTTTCCAGCAACTCAAACAAAGATTTATGTCTGCAAAAACTAAAATGTATTTCACAGTATAAAATGTAATCTTAAGATTGTACTTACAAATGTGCTGTACACTGCGAAGTGATGGTGCTGCAGCCAAAAGGTTAAAGTTTCTACCTGTGGCTTTAAAACTATATACATCTATTAAAAATACCCATTTTTAAAGTTGAATTTCTCAAAATGAAGGATTTCCATAATGGGGAATGTAAAAGGTTTCAGTTTATCACATCCTGTACTGGCACTTCCAGTTTTAATGCAGCTTAGGTTATGTGTTTTTTGTGCTTCAACCATGTAATACATCTCCAGTCTTAAACACCTCCCACTGAAGCGTAACTATTCCATCCTTAGCTATACACCCGGCCTCTCCAAGTGAGATTGAGAGTTCAGTGCTAACCAGTGTTGGACTGTGGGCAGTTTTTGTTTGCTACATACCTGACTAACATCAACTGGCTTTCGAATTCACCAAAAGCCCCTGTGAGTCATCAGATCTCTGCCACTGCAAAACTTGGAAATGAAAGATCAGCCGAGACCCTACTGTAAACTAATCACACATCAACTCCTTGGTGCAAACTGCAGTACTCTAACAGCAATGGCTGTCCCATCGACTTGTTGCTTCTCATTTCTTCTGTTTCGAGGTAGCCCTCTGAAGGGAGTCTTTCTGAGCCTGATGTCTCTGCAAAACCATCACAGCTTCATCAACCTAAGCAGAACCATAGACCAGACAGATGGTAAACTAGACAGGAGAAGAACATAACAAAAGAGATATCTTAATTCTACCTTTAAATTATTAATCACATTAAACAGAAGACTCCACATGACTTACCTAGGTTAATAACATGAATTCTTATTTAGCTTCAGTAACAGGGATCATCATTTCAGTTGTCCCCAGTAAACCAACAATTCCAGTAACAAGAACTCTCTTCATAAATAACCCACAGACAGCATGGCTGTGATTCCATCATATAAAAGTGCAATTGCCACAGCGTGCATCAACATAAGCTCCTAAAATCTGATTATGATTTTGGTGTCAAGCTGGTCAATGCAGGAAGGAGAGGCAGTGGACATGACTAGTGTTAATCCATACATAGTCCAATTCCATCACTGTAAATTACCAACATCTGGCATTGGACAAGGAGAAATGATCTGCGACTAAATTTTGAAAAGCAAAGATATTGTCTTTGGTCTCTGCCACAAACTCTGTTGCCTAAGGACATGGAGGTTAGGTGCATTGACCATGCTAAATTGCCCATAGTATCCAGGGATGTGCAGGCTGGGTGGACAAGTCATGGGAAAATACAGGGTTACAGATGCTCTTCAGAAGGTCAGTGTGGACTCAATGGGCTGAATGGCCTGAATCCACACTGTCGGGATTCTATGATTCTCAGTCCACCTCGCTCTCCGGCTAATATTGAACCAGACTGCACACGACCTTGGTGTTTTATCTGCCAATGAAATAAGTTTCTAATTATATATCTGTGCCATGCCCTGACTACTCCTCCACCTCAGCCCCTTCTGCTACTGAAACACTCTTCCATGCCTTTGTTATCTCTGAACTTGACTATTCCTGTGTGCTTCTGGTCTCCCATCATTTACCCTTGATAAAATCAAGTTCATCTGGTTATGAAATAATGCTTTATATCAAAAAACAATTGCCGCATCCATTGGCTGGAAATCCTTAAATGATATTTTTTTCAATAAAAAGGCCAAAGGCATACTCTAGTGACTTGAACTCTCAGTCAGAGGTGGCTACACATTACACAATTACTCCAGACCCACACTGTAAAAACATCAAAGGGGACAACCTGCCTGAAAAGCTGCACCAAGAACAGCCGCCTTGAACAAGAATGAATGAGGTGCCTTCTCCTATTCAATCAGCATAGGATTTTGATGTACTCAATAAGGCGGAGACAAACTATTAAACGTTAATTACTTGGACAATGACTTTGGCAACAATGGAATGTGCTTAGATTTGAACTCTCCACGTACATGATGCAATTGGAATACATTTAACATGACTTTACATGAATCATTAAGTAGTTCTGGCAGAAGATATGTGATTATTAGCTTTGTGTGAGCTTTAAGGACCTGCTTTATTTATAGAAAAGAACAAGCAAGTGAAATGCTGAAATTATTCAAGTGTTTTCTTTCTGTCGCTCTCCTCATCTCCTTCCATATTACATGTTGAAACCTATGTGTTGATTTTAGACTGTCCAGCTGACATGGACAGAACTTTTTTTTAAAACAAAAAAAGAACTCAGCCCACCAACTATTATATCCAGAAGAACAGATAAATGATCAGTTTACTTCAGAAAACCACCCAGACACTAAAAAGCAGCAGGATCACCACGCGAAGGATGGAGGGGTGTGGCACAATAGAAATGTCACTGGGTCACTAATGACCTTTAGGCAAAGAAATTTGCTGTCCTTACCTGGTCTGGCCTACATGTGACTCCAGACCCACAGCAGTGTGTGGTTGACTTTTAACTGGCCTCTGGGCAATTAGGGATGAGCAATAAATATTGGCCTGGCCAGTGACGCCCATATCCCATAAACAATTAAAAGAAAAGGCAACAGCAGGACCACCACATGAAGACAGGAGGAGGACCACCATGTGGAGATAAAAGCAGGATCACCACGTGGAAGTAAGAGGACCACCATGTGGAGGTAGGAGGATGACCACTGAATTCAGCCTGAAGCCAGCTGAGCTACCATCCCTCAAGAGACAAATATTCTTTTAGTTTTACTGAACTCAAAATTACTCAACCTATCCCCCACATTAATTGGCCTGTGAAATTATTTTCAGTGGTACATGTAACAAGTCATTTGATTTTAAACTGGAAAATCAGGGCAGCCATTTTAGATTCAGATAAACAATGGCAAAAACAAAAATAAATCCAATGAGTAGTGAACTAACCATGTTCCTTCCCACATTCAGTTCACAATATTCTTTTGCTCTGTCATGCCTTAATCCTGAGCAGTGTTTTAAAATATGCAAACCCAATTGATTCATATGACGTCAATTAAGATGTCATGGCGATAAAATAAATATTTACTCTTATTTTAATACTAGCCCTTACTTAATTTGCAGGATTATTCACCAAGAACTGAAATCATACCCACATTCTAAACTACTCCGTTTAAATTCCTTGTGATAATCAGTTCTGACGAAGGGTTGCTGGACCGAAACTTTAACTCTGTTTTCTCTCTGTAGATGCTGCCAGAGTTTTTCCAGCAATTTCTGTTTTTGTACTCCATTTTAACATTACCTTTGAGCAAAGGGAATCTGAGCACTCCAAATACTGTAGCAGTTCCTCATTATCCAACTCCAGTAGCATTCCAGTGATCTTTCCCGCTATGGAAGGGTGTAGGGTATTTATTAATGGGTAAAGACGTTCACCTGAAAATATATTGGCAGGATAAAGGTAGATCTTAGAAGCATTAATGTAGCTACTGCAAAGACAAAAATATTTCATGTGCCCTAGCAACATTTTAAAGAATTATTTGATATGAACACACAAATTAGAAACAGGTGTAGGTCACTTAGCCCTTCAACCTACACCACTATTCCACAGGATTAAGGATGACCTGATTACTCCACATTCCTGGTAGCTGCAATAACTTTTCAACGTCTTGCCTCTGAGCTGCTTGTCCCATGCTCCAAGGTTCCTCCAAGGTTCTACCTGTGCCACTTTCAGAAGTCGATGAAAATTTAGAGGGAGCATTGCCGTCTTGTCCATCGCGAGTCTTTCTACACCCATCTTAAAAAATATTCTAGAACACTGGTTCCACAGCCTTTTGGGAAAGATAGCTCCAAAGACTATTGACTCTCAGAAGGGAAAAAAAGCTATTTTTTTTTAATTGTATTGTGGTCTTAAGTGAGAGATCCCTTACTTTTAAAGTCAGCCAGAGTTATAGATTCTCTCATTAGAAGAAACAGCCTCTCCGCATCTATCTTGTCAAGACCCCCTCAGGATCTTATATGTTTTAATCGAGTTACCTTACTGTTCTAAACTAGCTTGGCCAAGCTTTCCTTGCAAACCAGGCCACATATGCCAGGTATTGGTTTGGTAAACCTTCTCTGAACTTCTTCTCATCTGGGCGTTGCAGGCAAGGCCAGCATTTGTTGCTCATCTCCAAGCGCTGTTGTGAATGTGATGGTCAGCCACCTCCTTGTGAGGCTGCACTCTACACTGCTGTCTGGGAGTAAATTCCAGACTTTGATCCAGCGACAGTGAAGGGTTGGCAATACAATTCAAAGTCAGGGTGGTGTGAGACTTGGGGGGGGGGGTGGGGGGGGGCGGGCGGGGGAGGTGGTGGTGGAGCTCATGGATGATAGTATTCCCATGCCATCTACTGCTCTTCATGTCTAGGTAGCAGAGTTAGTATTGCTGGAATATTGTCAGGGCAATAACCCTTTGCAGCATCCAGGGACTACAGCTATTTCTGGATATCAAATGGATAAATCATGTTCGCTAAAGACTGGTATATCTACAATGCTGGGGACCTGAAGGGGAGGCCAATGCAGGTTGACCATTCAGCACTTCTGGGTGAAGAGTGAACACAAACGCTTCAGTCTTGTGTTTTGCACTGATGTGCTGGGCTCCTCCATCATTGAGGTTGGGGATGTTTGCAGGGCCTCCTACTCTAGTTTGTTGTTTAATTGTGCACCTCTATTTATAAGAATATGGCAAGGCTGCAGAACTTAGATCCGAACTGTTGGTCATAGAATTGCTCAGCTCTCGGGAAGTTAATTTGCAATCCTCCAGACTGTGAGAGAGGAGAAGGAGTTTAGGAACTCAATATTAGGCAAATAGCTTCTAAAAGAAAAAATGGAATGCCATCTGCAGGTAATTTCCTTCTTCACTTGGTGCCCTACTCCACATTTAGCAGCATCTATGGAGCTCTAACCAGGGAGATAATCTCACAGACACTATGTCACAATGACATTCCCATGATTATGACTCTCATTTGTTCCATGTCCTTTGTGACGTGATTCACACCGATGATGGAACCAAATATGCTGAAATTGAAGCCCAATGAAAAGGAAGGTTTAATTAAGAGGCAGGAACAAATCCACTTGTTGTGTAAGGGTCAGCCTCAAATTTGGTGAACACAGATTGATCAGTTAATCAGAATCGATCTCCACACCCCTTCAAGACATCAGCAATACCCTAATTCTGGACTCTTAACCATTTCCAATTTTAATTGCTCCACCATTGGCAGCCTTGCTTGCAGCTGTCAAAACCCTAGCCCCTGGAACACCTGTCATTACACCTCTCTGCTCCTCTGTCACATCTTCCTCCTTTCAGATACTACTTAAAACATTCTTCTTTACTCAAACATTTGGTCATTGATTTATACAGCACAGAAACAGATCCTTCAGTCTACCTCATCCACATCGACCAGACATTCCTATCTGACCTAGTCCTATTTGCCAGCATTTGGCCCATATTTCTCTAAACCCTTCCTAATCATGTACCCACTCGATTTGCGGGCCAGTACCCAGAGAGGGAGGCAGTCCGTGCCCAGATCGGCCTGGGAGACAAGTCCCAGAGGCGAACTGCAGGCCGGAGACCAGAGTGGGTGGCAGTCCGAGCCTGAGACAGCCTGACAGACAAGTCCCAGAGGTGTGTCCTGGTCGGAGGCCAGCACATGGAGGCAGCGAGGCCTCGTGTTCTGAAGCCCAGCAGCATGGACTCAGTGAAAAGGACTATAATTTGAGTACTTTTTAAAATATACTTTTATTATTATTCTGGACTTTATGTCCAGTACTTTCTAAAACTTTGTATTCTTGGGTTAAACGTTTTTTAACTCCTTCAATTCAGTAACAAACACTTAAAGTATCTGCACCTTAGTACCCAGTACCTAAGATGGCACCAAAGTGGCAACACTACAAACTTTTCACTGAACTTGTTCGAGTGCACGTGACAATAAAGGGTATTCTATTCTATTCAAATGCCTTTTAAATATTGTAATTGTACCTGCCTCCACCACTTTCTCTGGCAGCTCGTTCTGTGTGAAAAAGTTGTCCTTAGAACCCTTTTAAATCTTACCTCTCTCACCTTAAACCTATGCCCTCTAGTTTTGGACTCCCCCATCCTAGGGAAAAATCCTTGGTTATTCACCCTATCCACGCCTCTCTACAACCTCTACAAGGTCATCCCTCAGGCTCTGACACTCCAGGGAATATTTCGTTAAGTGATTTTACAATGCCCATGAAGTGCTTTGGGACATTTCAGTGCGTTAAAGTTGTTGTTGTTGAATGGATAAACATAACTTTAATACCATATGTTTTCTGATCAACAAAGGAGAAGTGTTAAGTTTTCTCCATGGACCGATGTGTTAGTTATACAACATCACCTGGTAAATTGCCTAAATTTAAGTTAGTCAATCTAGAATATTTTTGATAAATTGTAAAAAGAAAGCAGGAAGGGGAAAGAGAATATAGCATAGTGAGGTCAGGTATATAATATGGTGTTTGTTATAAGGAAGGCATACAGTGTAGTGTTTCCCATTTACCTCTACCTCTCTTTCCTCGTTTAAGACACTCTTAAAACGTACCTCTTTAACTAAGCTTCAAGCCACCTACCTTATATAGCTTGGTGTCAAATTTTGTTTGATATTGCACTTGTGAAGTTCTATTGAATTAAAGACTATTCATAAATGCAGGTTGTTAGAAAATAAGTACATAAGAACCGGGAGCAGGAATAGGCCATCTGGCCCTTCGAGCCCTGATCTTTTCATGGCCTCTGTTCCACTTAACCACTCTCTCACCATAACCCTTAATTCCTTTACTGTGCAAAAAATTATTTTAGCTTTAAAAACATTCAATAGGGAAGCCTCAACTTTTTCACTGGGCAGGGAATTCCACAGATTCCCAATCTTTTGGATGAAGAAGTTCCTCCTCAATTCAGTCCTAAATCTGCTCCTCCTAATTTTGAGGTTATGCCCTCTTGTTCTAGTTTCACCCGCCAGTGGAAACAACCTCGCTGCTTCTATCTTTGTTTTCTTTATTTATTCACAGGATGGGGGCTTCACTGACCAGGCAGCATTTATCACCCATTCCTAATTGCCCAGAGGGCAGTTCAGAGTAAACCACATTGCTGTGGGTATGGAGTCACATGTAAGCCAGACCAGGTAAGGATGGCAGATTTCCTTCCCTAAAGGACATTAATGAACCAGACTGAATTTTCCAATAATGGGTTCATGGTTCATCAATAGATTCTTAATTCCAGATATTTTTATGGAATTCAAATTCCGCCATCTGCCGTGGCGGGACTTGAACCCAGGTCCACAGAATGTTATTTGGGTCTCTGGATTAACAGTCCAGCGATAATACCACTAGGCCAGTGCCTCCCCCAATAGATATCTTATCTATACCCTTCATAATTTTATATGTTTCAATATGATTACCCCCTCATTCTTCTAAATTCCACTGAATATAATCCCAGTCTACTCAGTCTCTCCTCATATGTCAACCCTCTCAACTCCAGAATCAACCTAGTGAATCTCCTTTGCACCCCCTCCAGTGCCAGTATATCCTTTCTCAAATACAGAGCCCAAAACTACACGCAGTACTCCAGGTATGGCCTCATCAGTACCCTAAAACAACTACAATATAACCTCCCTGCTTTTAAACTCAATCCCTCTAGCAATGATGGACAAAATTCCATTTGCCTTAATTACCTGTCGTACCTGCAAACCAACCTTCTGTGATTCAAACACAAGGACACACAGGTCTCTCTGCATAGCAGCAGGCTGCAATTTTTTACCATTCAAATAATAGTCATTTTTACTGTTATTCCTACCAAATTGGATTATTTCACATTTATCAATATTGTACTCCAAGTGCCAGACCTTTGCCCACTCATTAAAACTATCTATATCCCTCTGCAAACTTTCAGAGTCCTCTACAAACTTTGCTCTACCACTCATCTTAAAGTTATCCACAAACTTTGACACTCGACATGTGGTCCCCAACTCCAAATCATCAATGTAAATTATAAACAATTGCGGACCCAACACTGATCCCTGAGGCACACCAACCATTTATCCCCACTCTTTGCTTCCTCTTAGTTAACCAATCCTCTATCCATGCTAATATATTGCCCGTAATGCCATTCACCTTTATCTTATGCAGCAGCCTTTTGTGCGGCACCTTGTCGAATGCCTTTTGGAAATCCAGGTACAGCACATCTACTGGGTCCCCATTGTCCAACACGCTCGTAATGTCTTCACAGAATTCCAGTAAGTTAGTTAAGCATGGCCTGCCTTTCATAAACCAATGCTGCATCTGCCCAACGGGACAATTTCTATCGCAATGTCTTGCTACTTCTTCCTTGATGATAGATTCAAGCATTTTCCCCACTATAGAAGTTAAGCTAACTGGCCTATAATTCCCTATCTTTGTCTACATCCTTTTTTAAACAGTGGCATCACATTTACTGTTTTCCAATCAGCTGGAGCTGCCTCAGAGTCCAGCAAATTTTGGAAAATTACGAGTGCATTTGCTATTTCTCCTACCCTCTCTTCTTGTACCCTGGGATGCATTCCATCAGGGCCGGAGACTTGTCTACCTTTAGCTCCATTAGCTTGCCCAACGCGATCTCTTTCATGATAATGATCATGTCTAGGTCCTCACCTACCTTAGTCTCCTTGTCTTCAATTACTGGCATGTTATTCGTGTCCTCCACTATGAAGACTGACACAAAATACCTGTTAAGTGCCTCGGCTATTTCCTCATTTCCCATTATTAAATCCTCCTTCCTTTCCACTAAAGGACCAATCTTTACCTTAGCCACTCTTTTCCATTTTATTTATTTGTAAAACTTTTGCTATCTGTCTTTATATTCTGAACTAGTTTACTCTTATAATCTATCCTACTTTTCTTTATTGCTTCTTTTGTGGCTTTCTGTTGACGTTTAAAGTTTACCCAATCTTCTAGTTTCCCACTGGTCTTTGCCACTTTGTACGCCTTATCTTTCAACTTGATAGTTTCCCTTATTTCTTTCAATGTCCATGGCTGGTTACCCCTTTACCTACAGTCCTTCCTTTTCACTAGTGTATACTTTTACTGAGCACTTTGAAAATTGCTTTGAAAGTCCTCCACTGTTGCTCAACTGTGCCACCACAAAGTCTTTGCTTCCACTCTGCTTTATCCTCCCTCATTCTATTGAAGTCTCCTTTGTTTAAGCACAAGGCCCTGGTATTGGATTTTATCTTCTCACTTTCCAGCTGTATTTTAAATTCAACCATATTGTGATCACTCCTTCCAAGAGGATCCCTAACAATTAGATCATTAATTATTCCTGTCTCATTACACAGGAACAGATCCCTCATCGGATCCATTACATGCTGTTCAAGAAAACTGTCATGGATACATTCAATAAACTCCACCTCAAGGCTGCTTTGACTGACCTGGTTCAACCAATCAACATGCAGATTAAAATCCCCCACGACAATTGGGGGATTTATGGGCATTAGTTATTTCTTTGTTTATTGCCCGTCCCAACGTGATGTTATTATTTGGTGGCCTATAGACCTTGCCTATCAGTGACTTTTTCTCCTTAGAATTTCTCGTTTCCATCCAAATGGATTCAACCTTATTCTCCATAGAACCTGTATCATCTCTCACTACTGCCCTGATGTCATCCTTAAATATCAGTGCTACACCACCTCCCTTACCTTCCTAACTGTCCTTCTGAATAGTCTGATACCCCTGGATATTTAATTCCCAGTCGTGACCATCCTACAACAATGTCTCCGTAATAGCTACTAAATCATAGAATCATATCACAGAACAACAGAATCCCTAATGTTGGAAACAGGCCATTCAGCCATACAGATCAACACCAACCCTCCAAAGACCATCCCACCTAGACCCATCTCCCTGCCCGATCCCTGTAACCCTGCATTTCCCATGGCTAACCCACCTAGCCTGCACATCCCTGAACACTATGGACAATTTAGCATGGCCAATCCACCTAACCTGCACATCTTTGGACTGTGGGAGGAAACCGGAGCACCCAGAGGAAACCCACGCAGATACGGGGAGAATGTGCAAACTCCACACAGACGGTTGCCCGAGGGAGGAATCGAACCCAGGTCCCTGGCACTGTGAGGCAGCAGTGTTGACCACCGAGTTATTAATTCATCTATCTTGTTCTGAATGCTATGAGCATTCAGGTAAAGTGCCTTTATGCTGGATTTTATATATTCTTTTTGAATTCTAACATCTCCATTAATAATACCTCCTGAGTATTCCTCCCCTTTTGCTTCTTTCATAGTCTTCGATATAGTTAAACCCTCCTGTTGTTGTAGTGCAAGCAGGCATATACCATGTAGATTTTAAAATGGCAGCAGTACATATTGTTATGTTTATTCTGTGATGAGGTCATATCATGGACAGGTGCTATTCAACTGACTGGTCTTCAACATCTCTTCCACTGAAAAGATGACATATCCTGGATTGAGCAAATTTCACTTACCCAGCAGCTGCTTCTGTTTCTTGAGCGGGAGGGCTGAAAGCATTGCAGCTGTTAGAGGTCCCTGTTCCTTAACAGATATACTAGTTTGCTGCAATAAAAAAAAGCAGTAAGAGAATTAATGGAACATTAATCAGGTTATGCAACTGACCAACCCGCACATATTCCACAGTATTTATAAAGATGGCAGGGCATTTTTCTCTGGGTACTCCAAACCAACGGCACCTTGTGTCAAGTGTGAAGCTGTGTAAATAACTTTGAAAATATGGGACAACTATCAGCCCAGAAAGAAACAATAAAGGGATAAGAGACAAAGTGTTGAGCATAATTATGGAACAATGTGTCACCCAATCCAACACATGCACCCTTTCTAAACCCTTTTTTCAGGGGCTACACCTTCTGTAAGAACATCTGCAAACCTTTTATTTCCAATGAGTTGCATTTGCACTTTGAGCTGAATGTGTTAGAGGTAACTGAAGATCTCCCATACTTTATACTAAAATTCTTCTTTCTATATACATTTCCTATTTACAATGTCCTACTTCTTGTTGTCACACTGTCACCCTTCAGTGTCTGCACTTGCGACTCTCAATCCCTGGGCAAGTTTGCATCATATTTCCCATAAACAGGGCTTGTGAACTATACCCTCACACCCCTTGTGGTGCTGGGAAACCTCAAATTGTCTTATCACTGTGTATGCTTCAACCAACTCTACTTTGCAAATTTCTGTCTTTTTTTATATTTAAAATATAAATAATATGAATTGATCATATAAAAATAATTTTTAAAAGTATCAAAATTGGTGATTAAAATAGATCTATGGATTTGGCTCACTAATGGCCTGTCCAGCAACTCTCAAGACTACATCTAATCTTGCCTCATGAAACACACTGGAGGTTGACCAGTCACTGAGAAAACAAAAGATGGTGCCCTTTTAAAAGCTGTCATTTGTCTACATACTCAGAAATCATTTGTCTAATCACAAAAACTGTACATTGTGGATCAGTATATAATAAAATGTCTACTTTTATACGTGATTCTGTGATTGGGCAACACTTGCCAAACAATTCTGAATGAGCTGACAGCTATGCCAGTTACCAATTTAAGATATTCAAACAAGCAAACAATATGGAAAGAAATTACTAATGTTCATACATAGGGACCATTCTCTGTAAACAAAAGGAATTCGTTTAAACTGTGTGCCTTTTCAAAATCACCAGCAGCCTGGGGATTCTATAGTTCCCCATGGCAATGCCTCAGCCAGAGGTGACCTAACTAATCGGCACGCTTTTCTCCAGCAGTATAAATTCTTATGATTCAAAATCTGATATTTTTGAGTTTGTCCTGACAAGTACTGGACAAAAGCTTCAGTATGTGCCTCTGCTTGCAGCAATATTCAAGATTCATACGAAATAAAGTCACACTGCAGCAGTCCCATACGAAAGTATTAACCACTGTGAATTGTACTTACATGAAGAAGTGTGATATGAAGTATCTCATTGAAGCAAATACAATCCAAGAAAACAAATGAAACCTAATCATAATGCTGAAAAACAACAGTTATTACAAAGAGGTTGCTCATACCTGGTGTCTAACCTGAGTTGGTTGAGGCAATGCCGGTACGACAAAAGGAGCTTTGTATGGAGCAATACTGTACTGGCCACTCAGTACCGTACCTAAAACACAAGCAAGATGTTTTTAGGGATAAGAAATTGCAAAACAGAAGACTTCAAACTTTGTTAATATTTTTCATGGATCTTCAGAATACTTTGGAATGTTAGGACTGCTTCTATGTGAGATGTACTTGATGGATGAACTATATTACTGGAAACACATAAATACAAGCACAACTGTTGCATGATGATAACAACAACAATAACTTACATTTCTAAAAATATTTTTTTAAAATAGCATTTTTAAACATAGAAAATATCTTAAGGCACTTCACAGTAGTATGATCAGAAAAAAATTTCACATCAATCTAAGAAGATCTTAAAACAGATGATCAAAGCTTCAAAAATAAAAGTATACGTTAAGGAATGAGCTTAAAAGGAAGAGAGAGAGTGAGTGAGTAACCAACCATTTGGCATAGAGTTGCTAACTTATACAGCACGAACCATTCAGCCCATCCTGCCTGCACTTTCTTTTTGGAAGAACAATGCAATTTGTCCCATTCCCTGCTCTTTTTCCATCGCGCTGCAAATCCTTTCCTAATTATTAATCCAATTCTTCAATATGTTTGAGACAACAAGGTGCAAGGCTGGATGAACACAGCAGGCCAAGCAGCATCATAGGAGCAGAGAGGCTGACGTTTCGGGCCTAGACCCTTCATCAGAAAAGGGGGAGGGGAAGAGGGTTTTGAAATAAATAGGGAGAGAGTGGGAGGCGGATAGAAGAGGGATGGAGGAGAGGATAGGTGGAGAAGAAACAAACAGGTCGAAGAGGCGGGGATGGGGCCAGGAAAGGTGAGTGTAGGTAGGGAGTTAGGAAGGGGATAGGTCAGTCCAGGGAGGACGGACAGGTCAAGGGGGCGGGATGAGGTTGGTCGGTAGGAGATGGAGGTGCGGCTTGAGGTGGGAGGAGGGGATAGGTGGGAGGAAGAACAGGTTAGGGAGGCAGGGACGAGCTGGACTGGTTTTGGGATGCGGTAGGGGGAGGGGAGATTTTGAAACTTGTGAAATCCACATTGATACCATTGGGCTGCAGGGTTCCCAAGCGGAATATGAGTTGCTGTTCCTGCAACCTTCGGGTGGCATCGTTGTGGCACTGCAGGAGGCCCAGGATGGACATGTCGTCTGAGGAATGGGAGGGGGAGTTGAAATGGTTCGCGACTGGGAGGTGCAGTTGTTTGTTGCGAACCGAGCGTAGGTGTTCTGCAAAGCGGTCCCCGAGTCTCCGCTTGGTTTCCCCGATGTAGAGGAAGCCACACCGGGTACAGCGGATGCAGTATACCACATTGGCAGATGTGCAGGTGAACATCTGCTTGATGTGGAAAGTCTTCTAGGGGCCTGGGATGGGGGTGAGGGAGGAGGTATGGGGGCAGGTGTAGCACTTCCTGCGGTTGCAGGGAAAAGTGCCGGGTGTGGTGGAGCTGGAGGGGAGTGTGGAGCGGACGAGGGAGTCACGGAGAGAGTTGTCCCTCCGGAAAGCAGATAAAGGTGGGGAGGGAAAGATGTCTTTGGTGGTGGGGTCGGATTGCAGATGGCGGAAGTGTCGGAGGATGATGCGTTGGATCCGGAGGTTGGTGGGGTGGTACGTGAGGACGAGGGGGATTCTTTTTTGGTTCTTATTGCGTGGACGGGGTGTGAGGGATGAGGTGCGGGAGATGTGGGAGACACGGTTGAGGGCGTTCTCGACCACTGAGGAGGGGAAGTTACGGTCCTTGAAAAACGAGGACAACTGAGATGTACGGGAGTGGAATGCCTCATCCTGGGAGCAGATGCGGCGGAGGCGAAGGAATTGGGAATAGGGGATAGCATTTTTGCAGGAAGGTGGGTGGGAGGAGGAGTATTCTAGGTAGCTGTGGGAGTCGGTGGGCTTGAAATGAATATCGGTTTC